GTGAATGAGATTAGGGTCAATTTTTCTCCCACTGTATCTGCAAACTGGGGATCATAAAGATACCTGTTATCTTCACAGTTAACTGTGAGAATTAGATGAAATAATAAATTTAAGTACTTAATATAATATCTAGCAAATATATATTAAGCCCTCAAATATTTATTTTTGCATTATAAGTTCTTCACTTAGCAGTTATTTCTAAAATTTTTACAACAAATGGCACTTTTTAAAACAGAAAACCTTACAGTTATAAGGTACACTCATTTTTTATTAAATGTTACATTTCATTAAATAAAATTTAAAATTACCTTCTAAGTATATTATACTAAAATGAAAATAAAAAGGTGTATAAATCTATGTCCACAAGGGATTTGTTGTCTACAAACAACAAATAAAAATGTGCTGTGTGAAATGTGCCATAAGAAAACCAAAATGCTACAGGGTGTAGAGAAAAAAGGAAAGATCATATCCAGGTTTTCTGTGTTTAGGACTGGAACAGGGCAATGAGAGAAAGCATCAGGATAGATATGACATGTGAAATGAACCCTGAGCAAAGCTGGGAATGATTCAGCATAGTGATAGGAGTGCTCTGTTCTGGCTAGAAGAAAAAACTGGAAAGAGTATGACTAAAGTTACTTAGGCTGAAGCTACACTGTAGAACAATGCTTTCAAACTTATTTGACAGTGACCCACATTAAGGAATGTTTTGCATCATGACTCAATACATAAACATGTCAGTATATGTATATATATTTGCATTTATGTATATAAACATATATACACTGAAACAAATTTCATAAAATATGAAAAGATGTCATATATGCTGATAACTTTTTTTTGAGAGTGCTGGTAGCAACCTACTAAATTTATTTTAGGACTGGTTAAATGGATTGGGACTCTTCATTTGAAAAGCTTGAGGGCTTTAGTAAATGATTCAACAGACACTGAAGCTTAAGGACATAGTGTGGCAGGATGGAAGTCTCACTCTAAAAAGTCATTTATTAACAGTGAATAAGATAAATTACCTAGAATTAGAAGGCAGGAGGCAGGAAGTCTTATTAGGTTACTGAAATAATACCAGTAAGAGATAATGAGATTCTAAATTAGAGAAATGTTAAAGTGGAAGAGAAGATATATCTGAGAACTATTTCAGAGATTAAAAATTCCCAAACTTTGAGAAACAGAAACGTGAAAAGGGAGATTCACAGTCGGAATATCTGGATAAAATGACAAAACCCCAAACAGAGATGATGAAGTCAAGATGAATGCTTGGTTTGGAAAGTAAATGATGACCTTAGGTTTCAGCATAGTGAGCCTAAGGCATTCATAGAACAGGAGAGTGAAACACACTACAAAGGCAGCTAATAAAACAGAACCCAAAAGACCATTAGAGGGACTGCCAGTGAAGCTGTGGGCTTCCCTGGTGGCTCAGATGGTAGAGTCCACCTGCAATGCAGGAGACCTGGGTTCAATCCCTGGGTCGGGGAGATCCCCTGGAGAAGGGATTGGCTACCCACACTTCAGTATTCTTGCCTGGAGAATCCCATGGACAGAGGAGCCTGATGGGCTACAGTCCATGGGGTAGCAAAGTCAGACATGACTGAAGTGACTCAGCATGCATGTGTGTGTGCGCGCACGCACACACACACGCGCACAGTGAAGCTGTGGAGAAGTTAGTAACTTCATATCCTGCTGTCAGAAGACAATGTTGATACATATCAAGAGCAATACAGGTGTTTACATGCTTTGATGCAATTACTATTTTTAAGAATGTATTTATTCAAAGGACAAATTCATCAAAAAAGTAAATAGATGAATATATTAAATGAATACCAGGTGACCAATTCTAAACAACCTAGATGTTCAATAATAGGGTAATAGGGCTTCCCTGCTGGTCCAGTGATTAAGAATCTGCCTGCCAATGCAGGGGACACAGGTTTGATCTCTGGTCTGGGAAGATCTCATATGCCTTGGAACAACCAAACCAGTGTGCCGTAACTATTGAGCCTGTGCCCTAGGGCCCGGGAGTCACAACTACCAAGCCCAAGTACCTAGAGCCTGTGCCCTGCAGAAGAAAAACAACCACAATGAGAAGCCCAAGCATCACAGGGGTTACAAAGTAAACCCCACTCATTGCAACTAGAGAAAGCCCATATGTGCAGTAACGAAGACCCAGCAGAGCCAAAATAAATAAAACAATAAACTTTTTTAAAAACTTACAGAAAATAGTTTTTTTTAAAGAAAATAGTTTAAAAAAATACTGAGTAATGAACAATTACAGAATGTTGACTTGACAGAATGTAACTACAGTTTAGAAAAGGGGCTACAGAAACTATATTCCTTATTCTTAGTTATTTTTAAAATACCTATGCATATTTTCCTGGAAAAGTACTATACAAAAATGAAATCAAATGTTGAAGACTGACTGAATTAGTGTGGATGTATTTTTCACCTTTAAAAATTTCTGGTACACTAACACACATTTTAAAATGATTTTAACGTTTGCAAAAAAGTTTTCCCTGAAAAAGGAGTGTGAGGAGGAGAGGAAGGAGGTAGATAAAAAGAAAATATTTTTTAATGGCCTCAATATTCCCTACACTCAATTTCCTTCAGTTATTCCTAGGCACTGCAGTGAAATTAATATTACCATGTAGAACTTTGTCTTCTGCTCAATAACTTTAAAAAATTATTCTTTTTCATCTCCTGACTAAATCATAAATCAGGCTTTTAAGTCCTCCACAGCCTTTCCAAACCCACTGTGCCAAACTTACACTATACTCCTCAATGAATATTGTCTTAAACTGGTTTATACTTTACTGCCTCCATCCTTTTATTCATGGCATTCCAGCTTCTCCTCCCTCACCTCCGCATGTTCAAATTCTACTCTCTTAAATTCCAATTCAAAAATTATTTTCTCTTAAGAAAGCCATCTCTTATCTCCATCCCTATGAATTACCTTTTTTTGGACTTTCCACTTCTCCTACCATGTACAAAAACAATGATCTATTAAGCATATGCTGTGTATAAATGCTCTAATATTTTACACCATAATTGCTAACTTTCATAGTAACAGTGCATGAAAGGCAGGTAATTTCATTCCAACATAACAGAGCTGATAAACTACAGTGCTATATTTTGTGTTATTAGGCTTGTTTGATTTCAGAGATTTTTCTCTTTCTACTACACTGCACTATCACTTTGACTTTAAAATATCATTAACATTAATTAATAATTTCACTTATGTGTACCCAGCTTTGCTCTACAAAAGATCTGAAACACCTAATTACTTGCTCAAGTATATTAATATGATTCTTACCATGATCTGAGATGGCTTAAAGAATAAGATATAGACCACAAAGGGGAAAATAAAAATCAATGTAAAAAGAGGAAACAAATACACTACCTATAAATGTTAACATGGCTGCTTGCATTGTACACAAAATTTGACAGTCAAGGCAACTCAGGAAAACACCAAATTTAATTCAGTGCTAGAAAGGAAGAAGCTCACAAGTATCTGATGGCAGGCAAGGATGTCCCATACTAAGCTGAAAATAAATTTTCATGTGATACAGTGTTTTTATAAGGCAATATTATTGCTGCATTGAAATAAAAAATTCTTAAGAGTCTGGCTCCGTTTGTGTGTCCTATAAAACAACACAGTTTAAGTGTTTAATTTGTTGAATGACTGAATTTATCAGAGGAAACAAAAAACTAACATCCATTGAAGACAGTAAAAGGATGGAAAATGGGCTTTTCAATTTGAAATAGCCACTGGAAGGAATTTATTAAAGTAAAAAAAAAAAATGAATCAAACCACCATTAAGTAGAAATGAGGATATGGCAAAAGTTACACAGCACTGATTTTCAGAAGAGAATATAAAGGGGAAGGAGTATTGTCCAGCGATACCTGGTTAAACAGAAATTAAATTGTAATAGAGAAGGCAGACAGTACTGTGAGAGCAAATGCTGCATACTGACATGACGGGAATGCCAGAAAATCAAGGAAGTAAGGGGTAGTGTTCATGGGGACATGACTGAAATTACTTATTACACGCTCCAGGCTGAGAGGACAGTTATTGATAGACTAGAGGTCAACAGAAGGTAAAAAACAGATTCATAGTTTAAGAGGAAGTAAAACAGAAGACTGGTGGTTTATGGTAGGAAAATTAAATGCAAACTCAGAGGTCTCTATATGATAATATCTTTTGGGTTTTTTCCTGTATTTTTCCAAACAGTATTTTAACATTGAGTACCACTCTTAGCTTGTGAGCCTTACAAAAACAGACTGCAGACCAACTATATAGTTTGCAACCCCTGGTCTGCAGGACAAAATTTTAACTTCTTATTTTCACATTAAAAGACCTTTATAACCTAATTCCAATCTATTCCTCTAATCATGTTATCCCACACTCACTCAAGTCTTTACTTCTTAGATGCATAATTTTTCAGTTTCCTGAATATTCAGTCTAAAGGCTTTTCATAGCTCTGGGCCATTGCTCTTGCAGTTCCCTTAGGTTTTTCTCTATTTCTCCGTTTATACAGTTATTTGCATTCAAAATCCATTGCAAATGTTACTTCTTTATATACCTTTCCCAATTCCAAGGAGTGGTCTATTACCTTTTCTATTTAAAAACTTTTAAATTGTTCATCTCTCTCTTAAATCCTTCATCATGCTGAGTGATATTCTCTTTACAGTCTACTTCCCCCATCCCCAACTACCCTGAGTGTCCAAGTCAAGGATGATCTTAACCATCTTGATAGTCCCACTCCCCGATATTGATGCCGAACAATACCAAGCACTATAGTACATGCTCAATAAATATTAACCAATTAATAAAGTAGCTCACACTTTTTAATATAAATATCTATGTGTAATAATGACTAAGATAATACACTAAAACTATAGTTCTATACAATCATAATTGAATTCCACTGTTTACATTTTTAAAAAATGAAAAAAAATTCACTGTGATTTTAAGAGAATTTTCTATTTTACATGCCTGGTTGTGTTCATGAGCTGTGTAATTATCTGTGCCATTATATTCTGTAAGCTGTTCTCTTCTTTTTTCTCTAGTCAGAATTTTATGAACATCATCTTCCAGTCTATTGAAGAATCCTCCATCATGTGACAAAGTCTGAGAAGAACTCAATTCCTGTCAAAAATGAATTAAGATTCACTATCAATCAACACAAAAGTGCATGCGTTTAATAAACCTAATTGGCCACTAGAAGGATAGGGAATGAAAGAAAAATTATAATTAAGAGACAATCAACCATCTGATTGTTCTCTCTCTTCAGGTGATAATCAGCAGAAACACATATGCAAATGTCCTTTTCTTTACATTTTTTGAGTTGGGTATTGCCTTATTTTTAAATTATTTTTATCCATGTACCATACATTTATTCATATAATTAGCACAATTATTTTTTTTAATATACTCATAGAGTTGTACAGCCATAACTCATTCAAAAATTTTCATCCAAAAAGAAACCCACAATTTACTAGCATCATCTCCCATTCTCTCCTAATCTCTGCCCCCCTCAGTTGTTCTCTAAGCAACACTGATCTACTTTCTGTCTGTAAAGATTTGGCTATTCTGGATATCTGATATAAATGGAATCAAATAGAATAAGGTCTTTTGTGACTGACTTCTTTCACTTAGCAAAATGTTTTCAAGGTTCATCCATATTATAGCATCTATCAGCACTTCATTCCTTACTGCGAAATAATATCCCGTTAATTGATACATCATATTTTATTTCTCCATTCATCAGTTGATGGGCATTGGAACTGTTCCTTCTTTTGGCTACTGTGAATTTTGCTGCTATAAACATTCATGCAACAAGTTTTTGTGTGGACATGTTTTCAGATCTCTTATATATCCAAGTATATATCTAGAAGTAGATTTTCTGGGACATATGGTAACTCTGTGTAACCATCTGAAAAACTGCCAAATAGTTTTCCAAAGTGACTGTACTATTTTACAGCCTATCAATGTACTAGTGTATGAGGGTTCTAATTTCACCACATTCTCACCAACACCTGTTATTAGGCATCTCTTTAAATTATAAATACTACAGTGAGTGTGAAATGTGTGTGAATGAGGTTCATTGTTGTTCTGAACTGTATTTCTTTCATGGCTAACCATGCTAAGTATCTTTTTATGTGCTTACTGGACATTTGTGTAACTTTTTGGAAAAATGTTTATTCAGATATTTTGCCCAAGTTTTAACTGGGTTACTTTCTATTTCTGAGTTGGAGGAGTTCTTCATATATTCTAACAACAACATGACTTGCACATATTTTCTCCCATTCTGTGGCCTGTCTTTTCACATTCTTGATGTGAAAAGTATCCTTGGTATCACAAAAGTTTTACTTTTGACAAAGTCCAATTTATCCAAGAAATCACTGCCTAACTCAGGGTCACCAAGATTTACTTCTATATTTTCTTCTAAGAGTTTTATAACTTTAGCTCTTACATTTAAGTTTCTAATCTGAGTTATTTGTTGTGTATGATATGAAGAAGGGGTCCAAATTCTTTCTTTTGCATGTGGCTACCTAGCATTATTTGTTAAGAAGATTATTATTTTCCCATTGAACTTATCTTGACATTCTTGTTCAAAATTAATTCAACATAAATATTAAAGCTTCTTTCTAGACTCAACTTTACTCTGTTAACCTACATGTCTACCCTTATGCCATACTACACTGCCCTAACTACTCTAGCCTTGTATTACTCAAAGTTTTACAGTATATTTGAAAGCAATTTTTACATATATTTTACACATGAATGACAAAGGGATGCTTTTATCACAATCTACTCAACTATGTAAAATTACAGATTTTATATGTTCTCCAAGAAAAGTATCATTTCCTTTCCTGTCATAAGACAGACTGAAGAAATGCTCCTTTCTCTCTTATAGGTTTTCCCTATGTCCCACATTCTTGAGCTTTAATGTTCCCTATTTTACCCATTTCAATTGTATTTGTGAGCAAATGACCCAACAGTTCTATGACTGTCCATCCACTTTCCTTTCACATTATCTTAGAAAGAGTTTGAAAGAAAAAAAAGTTATGTATCAGTGCTTAATATACACAAATGATATTTAAAATGCTTGTAGAGCACTTTATATTTCAAAACACTTACAGAAACATCCCTTTATTTGAATCTCATTAACATCATTAAGAAACTGATAGAGCAAGAATAACTTCCCCAGAAAATAATCATGATCACAAGAAGTTTAACTTACCCATGAGTGATTCTTCTGCTAAGTGGTATAGATAGAACTCTAAATCTGCTTCATAAAATACTTCCAGTATATTCTGATAACATTTCATTTCAAAGCAATGAATACAACAATGCTTAAAATACTGCTGAGCTTCTATGGAAGGTACAGCATTTGTTGTTGTTTAGTTGCTAAATTGTGTCTTTTTTGTGACCCCATGGACTTTAGCATACCAGGCTCCTCTGTCCATGGGATTTTCAGGCAAGAATACTGGAGTGAGTTGCCATTTCCCACTCCAGGGGATCTTCCTGACCCGGGATCAAACCTGCCTCTCCCACACTGCAGGCAGATTCTTTACTGCTGAGCTACTGGGAAAGTCAGGTATAGCATAATGATGGGAACAAATCAGCCTCTGGATTTCACTACTTTAAAGACTGCAGCTCCAGTCTTTTTGTCTTCTATTTTTTGATGGCTACTACCATTATTTACCAGCATGTTTTTCCTAAATTTTGTCCTTGATGTTTTTTCTTTAGTGAGGCATAAACTTTCTTTCCAGCCTAAGGAGAGAAGTTCTCAAAAGACACCTTGATAGGAAACTAGAGAAATGAAACAAAAATAAATAAACCACGTACCACCCCACCTCTCACAACACGCACACCTCAAAAGAAAAAAGACAAAAATGCAGCATGTGTAAGAACACACATTCTTTAATAAGTCTAGGCAATTCAATGTCAATTTTCTGTCCAAATAATCAAATCAGAACTTTTCATTTAATTTTATAAGCCCCCAATTATTAAACACTAACAGTAAGTCAGAAGAGAAAATAAGAAAACATCTATTACAGCCACAAAAGATAACTGAGTTATGTATGAGAAACAGAAAAAATAAGAGAATAACTTAAGTTCAAAACCTCTGGAAAAGTTATTTTTGAGTAGAGACTGCATGATTTACCTCAGGATATGAAATTTAAAAGTCGTATTGTCAAAGTTACCCTTCCTCCACAAAGACTTATATACAGGCTGGAATCCAGATATTAAGGTTAAAAGCATAAACACTGGTAATTTCCACTAAATGTTTAGAATAGTTTCAGAGTGATATGATCCAAGGATTTAGAAGAAAATGAGAGTGCCATATTTTGGTTTGTTTGTGACATACATAAGGTAGAGTAGTTTCTTCCCTTTGGAGTCCTTCTCTTTCTCTTGAGGAATCAGCTGAAATTTAATTCTTTTGGTTCAAAGGAGTTTTAGATGGAATAAAAAACCTAAAGGGATGTTAGAACCTTTAAAATGTATATACACACACGACACATCCCTGTATCTATATGCATATGTATATATACATAAATCTTCTGCCATCCACACTTATGATTGCCACACAATACCCGGGGACCCTCAGTGCTACCAGGTAACTCCAGTGATTCACCCACTGCAGCAGAGTAAGTGTTCTCTTCCCTGCAACATTTTCCTGGCAGAGTCAATTTCAATTTAACTAAAATTTTGAGCACCTATTATGTGTCAAGAATATAGTTAAAAAGACAGTATGGTATTTGTGCAAGTATAGCTGTATAGATCACTGGAACAAAATTGAGAGATAGGACATAAACCTTCACATTTGTAGTTAATTTTTTATAAAAGTGTCAAGGTATCTCATTAAAAAAATAAAATTGTTTAAAACAAATGGTTCTGGAAAAACTGGATATAAACATGCAAAAACTGAATGGAACTCTTCACATTACACATAAAAATTAACTCAAAATTAGATCATGGAGAAGATTCTGTGAAGATGGCAGAGTAGGAAGCACCAGCTACCCTAGTCCTCACATAGACAATAACTGCACTGGCAAAATCTGATTTTGAAACAACTACTTTGGAACTCTGAAGTCTGTTGAAGGCTTGCAAATTTCAAGGGAACACTTGGGTGGTAAACTGCAGTAAAGTTTGGTCAAGTTTATATCTCAGTACAGTAGCAACTACCCATCCACCACCCTTAGTGATGTGGTAGAGAGCTGTGTGCATGTTCCTGAAGTAGCCTGGACACAACTTATGGGAGCCAGGGTGGGCAGAAAGGAACTTCTCCTCCAAATAGTGGGGACCTGTGCTCTGGTCACTAATTATTGTTTCTCATCACAGAGATGCAGACCAAGAGACAGACAGACAGGCAGTCACTGATGCTGCACTTCCCCCTCATTGTTGTAAGCACGCCCACCTCCAGCTGAAAAGGCTAGTCCTCTCCCCACACCCACTTCATTTTTTGCTTTTCCATTTTTAAGAACCAAACATTAAAAGGTCACTAAAAAACAACTGCCTATAGGGGGAAAATTAGAAAGTGACTACAAATGCCTAAGGAAAGACTCATTAAACATCTAAGACACTAAGCTTACATGTTATGTTGTTCTGTGAAACAGACAGCTGATAACAATCAAAAAAACCCCAAAATAGCAATAAGAAAACACCAATCCCCGGAAGGTGGAGAATCTTATTTCCAGAGTTACCACATTACTACACTCAAATGTTAGACTCAGTACTAGATTCATATTCCACAAAAAAATTACAAGGCATAAAAGTAATAGGAAAGTATAAACCATTGAAAGGAAAAAAAAAATCAACATAAACTGTTCCTGGAAAAGACTTATTTATGGCAGTTACATTAGACAAAGACTTTAAAACAATGTGTGAACAAAATGGAAATATAAATAGAGATTAAAAAACCTAAAAGATACCAAAAAGAAATTCTGGAGCTAAAAGGTACAATAACTGAAACAACACATTCATTAGAGAGACTGAAAGGCAGAGTTGTGCATGCAGAAGAAAGAATCAATAAACTTAAAGATAGGGAAACAGAAATTATCTAGGCTAAGAAACAGAAAGAAAAAGATTAAAGAAATGCAAACAGAGCCTAAGGGACCTGTGGGACACCATCAAGCAGG